ATATAACAATTAATTCCTGGTAGATAGATTAACAATCACGTTGTTTTGATTTACACACACTTATTGATAAACACGTACACATATGAATGTGGTAATGGAGAATTGGGGGGTTTAGGTGTTTGTGCAATCTGTAGGCTTGAAAGATAGAGTTTGCTTTGGAAGGTCATATCCAATGAGAAAGTTTTGTTGAGCAACGTTTCCATAGATGCTGAGTTGGTCGTTGGCGTAGAAAGCCAAACAAACCACTTTATCGTTGACCTGAATGAAAATGTTGTCGGAAGTGAGCAGGACATCGGCTCCCTTGAAATGCGCTGTGACGGGAGGAAGTTTGAGACTGGAGTCTGGCACGTAGCAGAGGCTGAAAAAGCCTTCGGGGTCGCTGGTTTTGGTGCCGCCGGTGACCTGAGTCTCGACGGCATCAGAGAGCTGGGAGAAGAAATCAGTAGGCACAAGGGTCAAAGTCGTCCCTGAATCAATGATAATGTTGCCAGAGCCTCCAATGGAGGAGCCTTGGAAGGCAATCTTTTTGCTCCCAACGCTAACGGCTTCAAGTTGAAGGAAGTAAAATGTGGGTTGGGATGGATCCGAAATCAAGGGGGTGGAAAGGACACCATTTCCTGAAACCACGGCGTTGGTGCCAAAGTTCATCGTACTGGTCGGCTTGGCAGCTGCGTAGGGGACCATGCAGTAGGAGAATTTCCCGCCAATGGATGAACCGAGTTGGCTGACAAGGGATGCAGGTCCTCCTCCAAGACCAACGATGCCAGAGCCTTTGGGGCTAAATGTTCCTGCATTGTCATGCCCGCAGCCAATCACAGTTTTCGGAAGGGCCACAGGGTTGCCAGTCTTGGACTCCAAAGTCAGTGTTTCAGCTGCTACATCTCCTTGGGTGTGAGATTGGTCCCCATAACTCACCTGGTACTCGCAAACACTGCCGTCGGAGGAGCAAGAGCTTCCTTCACTCTGGAGCGAATTACAAGCGTTGGATGAACATGACACTGTTCTATAACTACTCGACGACTTGGGGTCAAATAAGGGCGCATCCTGCTTGTAGCAATCGGTGCAAGGCTTACATTGTGTCCATATAATGTCGCTGCCAGTGTCAGCAATCGCAACGATCGGAAATGGTGGCGTACCAAGGGAGATGTTCACCAGGTATTCGCCATTGTTGGCCGTCAACTGAGCATCAGGATCCGAAGGGTCCGAAATAGACCTCGAACTGTTAAGGTGAAGCATGTGACTGAAACGATGCACTCGCCCAATGGATCGCCTACCCGCATTCCCAACGCGCCGAGCTGGCGTTTCCTTGGGATTATACAAAGGCGAACCTTCCGAATCGCGATGGACCAGATTGATACTAAATCCACCGCTCTGCGCATCCACAAATGCGGAGATAATTATACAACAAAAAGTAGCTAGTGCAAGTGTGATCGGGAAAGACATGGTTGGTTTTGGCTCCATGATGTATGTCAAGATTGAGAGATGATTGATGAGTGGAATTAATGGATCACAAATGCATTCTATATATAGTGTCTTCTTCAAATCAATTATATTATGCTGCTTGTCATTATATACATATATTCTTTTTTCATTAATTGATTGATGCCTAGTTTGTCACACTCATTTCCCCCTGACAAGAGGCCGCACAGGCGTTGATGAGTCGCATTGGCCAAAATATTAGCTTCATATATATGTAATTATAGTTGAGTTCACACATGACAAGTTTGAAATAAACTACTTTAATTAACTTTGTACTCTAGGTTGATGTCCATTATTTCATTCTCTATTATGCATGTCCTATACTTCTTCACAGCTTTTCGTTCAACACTATATATGTTTCTATGTGTACGCTCTTCCCGACTCTGCGTCAATTTTGCATTACGACAACTAAAGATTACACAAGTCAAACGTATCCCGCAGGAGAGCGTCGGCGGTTCCTATTCCTTCAAGCATAACTGGCAACTTAACGTCTTTCCCCTTCACTGGAGTATCCCCTCTCTGTCTTCGTTTGTAGAGTCATCTTCCCTCCCATACTTGAATAAGTACCTATAAAACCTTTAAGTAGAGTGAGTTTACGCAACTTCAACTTATCTTTCTGATTGACTGTTGTTTCCATGCTTGTTTTTGAGACCGGGGCAGTAAAATGTATTATATAAGTTTCAGTAATGATTAATACACTAGACAAAGCATATGGTTATGGATATTGGATAGATAGTCATTCCTTATATATCAGTTGAACAAACATATTACATAATTCTTTTACAATATAAGTTTGAACGTAAATTTCTTTATTATTAATTAAATTGTTGATAATCTCATCTATGTGCATTACACAAAGATTATCTAAGGTCGATTAATGTTTACATAAAATTTTAATAAAATGTTATAATTTTGATAACTTAATTATTTTATTATTACCCAAAAAATCTTTATTATTATCTATAACATTTATCCTCTCATAATTTTGTATTACGCATAAGTTTTGTATGGGAAGTTAACACTTAAATCAAATGTGTATCTTACCTAAACTATTTTTTAATTATTTAATTCCAACTACATCTTTAAATAAGTAAATATAGCTTTATAAATTAATTAATATCTTGCCGCAGTGAAGCGCGGACAACAAACTAGTATATGATAATGCTCATAGTTGTTAAGTAAAATACAATTTGACATAAATTCTACCTATCTTAGAGGCAACTTCAAAACACAAATAAAAATAAAGGGTTAATATATTTGTATGGACTGCAATTTGACCATAATAAACATTCTACCCAATCTTTTCGATTTGTAATATCCTGGCCCAAACTATACATAAAAGTAACGACATTGGCCAAACCCGATGTTTGACTGTTATCTTGGACGGTCAAACGCTGTTACTAACAATACATGCTATGTCACCATCCGGTCATCATAAAAATCATTAAAATATTCGTAATTTACACATATTTTCTAATTTAAAATTATTACAATTAAATTAATATAAATAAAAATTGAGACCCAATCTCTTCTTCGACAGAGAGCTCCAACCTTTTATTCTTGGATTGGGATTAGGTTACCAGGGAAAGGGTTCGTGAGAGTAGTTCTATAAATATGTAAGTTGTTCTATAGTTTTAATGAATGAAGAAGAGTAAAGTTATTTGGTAGAAAAAAGTTGTAGTTTTATCGCGTTTCCTTAGTTTATCGTAGAAGAGTTCTAGATCCACAACGCGTGAATTCCGAGCACACGCCAATTGGTATCAGTGTCAAGTTGGCACTGAAGTCGCTATGTCGATTCTCATGCAACATCAAGGGTATTACAGGCCGCCGCCGCTATGGGCACAAACTACGAGTTCCTCGTCGAGCCCTTGGCTACCCGAGCTTTCTGCCGCCACTACACCCACCGCTGCCTCGGTGATAAGAGCTTTTTGCAATTGGTTGAGCGCAATTGAAAATATCGCAAGCGCAGGCTGCACCAGCGTCCGCTCATTGTCATCAATAATCAATGGTGAAACTTCTTCTACATCGATCCGGATTGAGATAACGCATGAACTTCGCGGACGAAGTTCTTCAAATGGGGGAGATTTGGTGTATTATAGCACCCGTTGGACAGGGTGGTCGATTCTGGGCTTAGTAATTAGAGACTTATTATTAGTTAATTGTTAGATTAATATGGTTATTTAGGAAATTCGTAATAGTTTATTGTATCTTGCTGAGAAAGTTATTGTTTACTTCCTGGGTTGGGATTAGTTTACCTTGTTTGAGGGAAAAGGTTTGTGAGAGTAGTCCTGTAAATGTGTACGTTGTTCTATAGTTTTAATGAATGAATAAGAGTAAAGTAATTTAGTAGAAAATAGTTGTAGTTTTTTCGCGTTGCCTTAGTTTATTGTAGAAGAGTTCTAGATCCACGATGCGAGAATTTCGCGTACACGACAGACACTTCCAAACGCTTTATGTGGTGTCTTAATTATGATAAAAGACTTACATAACACATTTGTTTGATTAATAATTGTGATAGAATAAGGTTGCGTAATCTTCCTTAATGTGTAGTCTCGTAATAAATTCAAGTTAGATTAAACTATATAATGTATAAGATTAAATTATTTTCCATAAGTTTTAATATGCATGATGCAAATTGATAAGACGTTGAATATATATGGTACTAATAAATAAATTTATGTTATTAATAAGTGAACTAAATTATAAAAAGTATTACATTTGATTAAAGTATTATGTGAATAGTAACTTTCCTTACAAAATTCTTTTGTAATGCAAATTGAAGAAATAGTCATTTTAGTCAATTTAGAAAAAAAAATTCAAACTTATATCAGGAAAAACTTAAGTAATATGTTTGTTAATTGATACATTTCCCTCAATAAAAGTTTTTGTGTTGTCTAATTGTCTTAGTCCTTGCAAAGTCTTATATTATTGGCAAAATACACTTGTATAGCCAAAACTTTCACGTTTGTGCCAATAATAGCCAAATTTGGCAAAATACCACTGATATCTAGCTTTTAAACTTGTCGTTGACAAATTTAGCCATTTCCGTTAGATACTTTAACGGTGTTAGTGACACCATGAACTTCTTTGACGGTTCGCTGACTAAGCGCCAACTAATCATCTTACACGTCAGCACAAAATAAGAAAAAGTGACACGTCAATAATTTAATATTATTTAATAATTACACATCATAAATTAATAAAACCTATTAAAAATATATTAATAGAATAAAGCCATTGAGAATTTAACTCCCTGCTGTGCTTCTTCTTCCCCTGTTCTCCAGCCGACGCCGTGGACCAACACTCTTCATCACCATTGTGCGAACCACCAGATCTCTTGGGAGGTCCGATTACTCCTCCTCTGAGCTCTCTAAATCTCTCTCTAGATCAATAGTTTGATTCCTTATCTTCCCTCTCCTCCTCACCCTCCTCTTCTCCATATCCTCTGCCGAGATTCGCTTCTCGGAGGTTCGATCCGACGCCCACCCAATCATTCCCTTCAAAAAATTCGGATTCACTCACTCTAGTCGCCTCCCGCTGCTAATGTCTTTCCCCTTCGCTTGATACTCTCTGCCCTGCCATTCCATGTACGTCACTCGACGTCGACGACCGAGGACCTTCTCGACGTTGGCGGCGGTGACGAGGGACCCGACGAAGTTGTTGACGACCCGAGTTGGTGATTCCAGTGAAGAAGAAATCGCCGGTAGTCGAGTTGGAGTTCGGCTTGCAGGCGAAGCCAATCAATTTCGGCCCTGCGAAAATGGGTAATTTTAGGGATTGCTTTGATTCAATCTCGTTGACTCCCGACAAATCGACTGGAGCAATCGAAGAGATGGACGGAGCGACAGGCGAATGGATAGGTGTTGGGGAATGGATGGTGCAGACTGCAGAGCGAATGGGTGTGGGGCAATGCATGGGTGCGGCGGAACTCAGGGAAGAAATATAAAAGGTTTCAAATTGGAGAAGAAGGGCTCGATGTCAACCCATCCTCTGTATGTGTTTCTCGAGGAAGGAGGCGGTAGGTTCAGCTCGATCAATGAAGGAAGGAATAGCGGTGGGTACGGGGTTCGTCGGAGGAAGATCGTCGCCTTCGTGGTCGCCTTCGCCTTCGTCGATGGCAATCAGGGCGGGTTCGATGAAGACGATAAGGAATGAGGAAAGAGAGAACAAAAGGTGGGTGAGTAAAAATGAGTGGCTCTGATTTTTTTTTTTAATTATTGTCCACGTGGAAATCTCATGCGGTCCACATAAGCTGCTCCGTTTGCCCAGTCACATTTAACGTTAACAGCGTTAAAGAATTGGATGGACTTGGCTATAAGTGGTATTTCGCCAAATTTGGCTATTATTGGCGCAAACGTGAAAGTTTTGGCTATGCAAGTGTATTTTGCCTATATTATATGTTTTCTAGAATTGATACATTAGAAGTAACTGTTTCTCTGTAAGATTACCTATGGTATTTGTAATTTACGTAATTGTTGTCAAAGGAATAAAAAAATGTTATGATAAAATTGAGTGTAGGAGATAGAAAACAAATAATTGCATATACAACTACATATGGGAAAAAGAGTTATGCTGAAATTAGGTGTAGCGTATAAAAAAATATAGGTGAACAATACCCTAAAAAAAGGAAGCAAATTTGATGCGCCCTTATCTTTTTAGTAAGGAATAGTAATTTAAGCTTATGTAAATCTTTCTTAATATGAAATAAAAAAAATACTAAGATAGTTTGTAAATAGAATAAATCTGAGGGTAAAAACTATTTTTAGCCAATCTTTCATAAATTCTAAAACATTAGTCAAACCTTTGAGAAATACAAAATTATAGTCATTTTCATTCAAATATGTGGACTTACGATTAGCTCATGTGAAATTATGTTAAAACTAACATTAACTTTAATGGAAAGTAACTATAATTTTATAGTTTTATTAGAGATTTGACCAATATTTCGTATTCTCGAATGTTTGACTAAAAAATAGTAGTCACCCTCACTCTTATGATGAAACTTTTCCATTTTGTGTGGCTTGGGACAGTTTGTTGTTAAAGTGAATTTGATTGTAAAAAAACTAATAATTGATTGTTAGAAAAACTTATCATGGACCTTACTATATGAGACATGACCCTTACGTAATTAAGGAAAAATTAATTTTTTCATCCTCGGTTACTTTACTTGCACTATTATAATATAAAATATCAAAATATAATAATTATTTAGCTTATGTCGCATTTTTCGATTGGGTTTACGTTTGATCGTTGTTTCATGACACGTATCAATGAGTGAATTGTTATGAAAACTAAACTGAAATAAACGACACCGAATTAACGTGGTATCAAGACTAATCCACGACACAAAGCGTTCTTCTTCTCTTATTCAGCTCAAAGGCTACCGAACCCCAATCACACCATATATATATATATATATGGTGCCTTCTACCGTACCCCGGGTGAAATCCGGGGTACCGCATACATTGAGTATGAAAAGGCCATCTAGACCTCGAATTAGCAGGATTTTTGGGCATTATACTATACCCTAACACTTAATGAGTGAACCCTAGGTCCTAATTATCTAAATCATAAACTATATACTCTAAGATGGTGCCTTCATTTTTTTGCCTATATTTGGACGAATCATAACCGTCGATTATTATTTCTAATTAAATTGATCTTGGGGTATAAGATTTAGAGAATTAAGACCTAGATTTTGATCTTTAAGGGTTAGAGTATAGTATCATGTCCGAAAGATCAGTCAATTCAAGTTCTAGATAATGTTTTCTTACTCAAGTTATGCGGTACCCTGGATTTCACCCGGGGTACGGTAGAAAACCCCATATATATAATTAACAACCCTAATCTATCACACGCCATCAATCATATATATGATAAGGTAAGTCAGCATTCCCATGCAAGGCTCTCGTGGGCTCAATATAGTTAAAAGTCCACTAAACATAATGACACATACAAAATACAAAATACATGGGTTGCTTCATAATGATCATCTGACAGCCTCCCCAAATTTCTGTGGGGTATCCACCATCAATTTGAAGGAAAAAATCCCAAAGTACACTAGTTCTTAAAAAAAATTTCCAAAATACATAATTTATAAAAAAAATTCCAAAAGTACTCATGTTTGAGCATCACCGTTTTGGTTTGAAACGGTGAAGGTCATCACCGCGTTTGACGAACACGGTGAATACTTCACCGTTTTAAATTAAAACGGTGATGTATTCACCGTTTCAAACTAAAACGGTGAAGGGTTCACCGCGTTTGTTAAGAACGGTGAACACCTCACCGTTTTAGACATCCACGGTGAAGGCGCTGACGTGGACTAACGCTGGGTATTCACCGCGTTAGACAAACACGGTGAATACCCGTGTTTGTTTGCGTCAGCGATCCGCGTCGCTGGCGGGTTCGCCGTGTCCGTTGGATGCGATGAGGCGCGGATCGTGGTTTTCTTTCCAGATCCGACGCCTCACGCTGAGCCACGTCGCTCGATCCGCGCCTCATCACCGTGTTCGAGAAAAGCGGTGCCTTCACCGTTTCTGACGGACGCGGTGAAGGCTGGGAGAATTTAATTCTCGGCAGATCCCTTCCCCCCTTCCCCCAACTATAAATAACCCTTCCCCTTTCACTTTCAACTCACACCACAAACATTTCACTTCTTTCTCCCTCAATTTATCTGCTCTAGTCTCGTTCTAAGTATGCTCTGTGGTTGCGGCTAAGTCCGATCTTCCACATCATAAAGAATTACTGGAGTTTGACCCTAAAGCCCCCGTCCCGCTAAGTTCCCGTCCCTTACAAACCTAAACCCGTCGAACCTCTGTCCGGCTTCCGCCAATAATGGACGAAGAGGCTCTTCGTGTAGGTTTTTTGTTTATGATTTTTTTAATCGAAACAATTTGATTTTTTTTTATCAAAACAATCTCTGATTTCATTACTTTTTTATAGATGGGTGCCGAGATATACGATCCTCGATTGTATATCCATTATGGCCCAAGGGATGCGAGTCTCTTAACCGATCAACAAGCTCATCGCTCCCGTGCCATTTGGGATAACAATCCGGTAATTTGATGAACTGACTTGCTTTATTTTATTATTTTCTAATGTTTTATTTTTGCTTTATTTAATCTAATAAATTGATGTTTTTCCTATTTTTTTTAGGAATCTCTTGTTCCCGTGGTTCATAAAGGGACCCATAACTTGCCCGCTTGGCATCCAAGGTTGGAGCCCTATATAGCGAGGACCGGTTTGGGAATGTTGCGCCATTTCTTGCGGATCGAGATCGACAACGAGCTGCTTACGGCAATGGCGGAACGATGGCGTCCCGAAACCCATACATTCCACCTTCCGGAGGGGGAAATGACGATCACCCTGAAAGACGTGGCGATCCTCACCGGGCTTCCTATATCTGGAGATGCCATCATTGGTTCCACGACCAAACCCGGAGGAGGTTGGGGGCCGCTCATCCGTGATCGTTTGGGCTTCGACATGCCGACCACCACACCAAATCAAGGACGGGGGCATCCACCGTTGAATGCGGGGCAAGTGTCGGTCCCGTGGCTGGTATCTCACATCCAGCAAGAGGTGGAAATCAATGACGAGACACCGGAAGAACAAGTCGAGCGCTACGCCCGCATCTACCTCATCGGTTTGGTGGGTGGATTTTTGTTCCCCGACAAGTCCAACCGGTGGATTCAAGGCATATGGTTGCCATTGCTCACCGGTGACTGGGATGCAATTGGAGAGAAGAGTTGGGGATCGGCCGTGCTAGCGGGCGTATACCGGGAGCTGTGTACTTGCTCGAAGGTTGGGGCAAAGCAAGCTGGTGCTGCGATGTTCATCGTTCAACTGTGGGTATGGGAGCATCTTCCAATGTTCGCACCTCTCGACCCACGTCCATACCGGAGAAACGATGATGAGCTCAACCTTCTGCAAAATCTCCCCTACGGTGTCAAGTAAGTTTATTTCGTACTTAGCCCAATTTAAATTTTATTACATGCTTGAGCTAGATTTAAATTGAATTTATTCCGTACTTAGCCCAATTTAAATTTTATTACATGCTTGAGCTAGATTTAAATTGAATTTATTCCGTACTTAGCCCAATTTAAATTTTATTACATGCTTGAGCTAGATTTAAATTGAATTTATTCCGTACTTAGCCCAATTTAATTTTGATTACATGCTTAACTAGATTTAAATTGAATTTATTCCGTACTTAGACCAATTTAATTTATTATATGCTTAGCGATATTTCAATTAAATTGATTCCGTACTTTTACTTACAAGGTGGATAGGAGCAAATACGAATGACCATCAACCTGAGCATTCGTTACTGTTTTATCGTTCTGAGTTAGATAAACCATGGTGGAATCAGGTAATCATGTTTTGTCCATATTTGAACAAGTTCAATTTTATCAAAGTAAATGGTCGTTAATTCCGAATTTTTGAATGAATATAGATTATATGGGATCCATATCCACGTGAAGTGGTTGAGCTGCATCATCTTAGGCACCCTCTGGATCACGAGACGTTGTTGTGCAAGGTACCATTGATCTGCTGGCACATTGTGGAATGGCACCTACCCGATCGATCCCTGAGGCAATATCGAATGGAGCAACCAATTCCACAAGACCCGCCAGCAGGTTTCAAGGAGCTACATGCTATGGACCTCCGAAACAATGCAAACTGGCAGCTAAAGCATGGATTCTACATCAACATCTGGGAGAATCGATCCCAATGGGTGGTGCAAGGGATGCCGGAGACGAGACCGATGGGCTACCACGATGGGTACATGCAGTGGTATCGGAAGTTCACCCTGAGATGGGTGTCAAAGCAAGGTGCTGTGATAGGTTCGGTGGTAAGTCATCCTAATCTCCCTCATTCTAAAATATATTTATTTTAAGGTTTAGTTAATTTGATATATTTTGTGCTTTCCTTAGGTTGATGGTTTGGAACACGCGAAGTACACTCTCGAAAGTGCTCCAACCATGGATGAGCGGAAGACTACTTGGTTAACCCGTCTTATGAATAACCTCCTGAGTTGCACCAGGGAGCAAAGGAGGGATGTCGTGGCCTATCCTCCCGTTCCTGCCCCGGCACGACCCTCATTCCGTGATGATGCAGCCATTGTGCCCCCGGTTGAGCCCCCACTAAGGAGCAAACGCAGGCCTTTGCCTACGTTCGAAGAGGTGCGTACCACTCAAGCA